CTGGTCCGGCCGGCGCAGACGGACTTGCCCCGTTCCGCTTAGAGGTCACAGCAGGCTTAGAACTGCCCGCCTGAACCGTTCGTCAGGCCGAACAACTGTCAGCCACCCTGAGCACTTGGGAAAACGAATGGGCCCGTCTTCCCTCCCGGTGGGCTTCCTGGGTTACAGCGTCTATGGCCGTCTTTCAAGAAGCTATTCTGCGCAGAAAAAACTGTTAAAACAACACACGGCGAACAAATACTCTGCCGCAGATTGTGTCAGTGGCCATAGCCTCTACCGCCACATAGCGCGCCGACGGGTTCAGGTACCATGCGGCTAACTCAGCAAGTCTGCATTCCAGAGCTCGCTCCTGGGTCGCCAAGAACAGGGGATTTCTTGTGTCCTACCGCAACCTCATGTTATACGTCTTCCCCATCGCGACGACGGTAGTATCCTTTCAAGTCAGCGATATGAACCGGGCAAGCCTCCTCGTTTGTATCTCGCTGAGTAAGCCTAGAAGTAAGACACGACGCTCGCGTCTTTATACCTCGGGTGCCCTTCTCACCTCGGAGCAAGCGATGCGGCAAAACCACTAGCTGCATTGCTCAACACGTGAGTTTCCTTCTGAACAGGTAACGATGGAGTAAACCTAGTCCATCTTTTGCGCAAGCGAAGGGACCCAAAGCTTGTGGCGGGACGGCCATATTCCATACCCGCGCTCCAAAACGGCTACATATACCATGTGGTGCTCGATGTAAGCGTCAGCGTCCCGTTCCGTCCACGTGTATACAAGCTATATAGGGACTGCGCAGCTCAGCGAGCAAGCCCGCTTGAATCGTTCATGACTCAAGGCAAGCTAGACAGCTACAAGCCACCCGAATGTCTACCACCTCATCCCCGGCCAGGTCGTGACGCGACATAACTTATTAAAAGTCTTGCTGTCACTGCCACGACCGCCCAGAGTGAAGCCGAAAAAGTATCCTATAAAACATTTTGTAGCTTTCGCGGAACGACCCCCTCACGGGAGAGTCGTCTCTCTTCCTCTTGTCGATTGTTGGAGTGACGCGAAGCAACTAGCCGTCTCGGCCCAACGGTTACAAATCATACTGCTCCTTAACTCGCCTTCCAGCGTTCCCGGTGTCAACTGCAATTTACGCCAGTTTACCCAACACCCGCTGACAATCTCGTCCGCCAGTGTTCCCGGTGTCGCCTGCAATTCCTGCAATCTTTCCTGACACCCACTGACAAAAACCCATCTGCACCCCGGGCCTCGACAAGCGATTACTGGCTCACCGCATCACTCCAAGCCTAAATCCTAAATATGCAATAAGTACTGGCTGTTTTCCCTCCTGCCAGTCACTATCCTGCCTTCCAGCGAGCATGCCGTACCTCTCCTCTGCCTCCGTAGACGACTTTCTTACATCTTAACCGCGCTCCTCGTGTTCCCCCCGGTTGCGTCACCTTCTGCCAACCACTATTCTGGGGTACCCGAGAAAGCGCGTCTGCAACCTCGTCCTTCGAGACCTTTAAGTACTCGATTCGAGGAGACACCTCCTGAGCTCTGCTGTGAGACAAGTCACCAAAATTCCAACATACTTTGTCTCAACGGGCATCGTTAGCGTTAGTGAACAACCCGCTTCACGAATCCATGGGACTCCCTGGGGACGAGTAGAAGCAGAGGCATACCGAACGGGCCCTCGTTGGATGCGCAATTTTAATGTGGGGTTCCTTATGGAAGTCCCTCTGCCCTAACCATCGCCCGATCGGTATGCGCTATACGCCCGTCACCCAGGGAGTTACACACTGCAACGAGAGACAGTGAATGGGTTTACGGTACCTCTCGTTTGCCCATGGTCGAGAGCCGGATTTCGAGGCACGCCGACCCTTGTTGTCGCCCGTCGATCAGAGCTAACAGTCGGAGTAAGTGTCCAGGCCTGCGGATCGCCTTTCCCACGCCAGCGCTGCGTTGGCTGGCTGTCCCGGGCTATCAATGCCCGAGCCTCACTGCGGAACCGCCCCGGGGTTGTCGTAGCCCAGGTCATATGGCCAGGGCTCGCCGTTTCCACCGGTCTTGCTCCAGACCTCGCTGGTGGACCGCTCCGGGGTTCGCCAGGGGCCGCGCCAGGGAGCTTGGCTTCGACGTCCTTGTCCAGCTACCAGCCTCGCTCAGCTCGCATTCCCTCGCTCAGCACACACCGTCTCGCGCCAGCTCGTGACTTCTCCGCCGACCACCTGTCGCGTGCCCCCTACATCGTCGTTCACCCTCGGCTCCCACACTCTCCCCCCCTCAGCCTCGCTCAGCTCGCACTGTCTCCCGTTAGCTCGTGTCGTTTCCGCCGACCGCCTGCCACGTGCAATCTGCAGGCCTCGTCGTTCACCCTCGGCTTCCACACGTTTCAAGCGGGGACCGCTTTTCTTCATGGTGGGAACCCACCCTGAAGAAAAGCGGTCCCCGCTTGAAACGTTGGTGCAGTAAAGAAAGGCCTTTCCTGGAACTCCTCCACTTTCGTTATATATATATATATATATATATATATATATATATACTGTGGGGATCTGTCCCACTGCTCGCCCGCAAGAAAGACACGCAAGTCAGGACACAGCAAAAACACACCTTTACTTTGTTCAGGCCAGGCTTCGAGTCCCTGCCGCCGAGGCCCTCGTTAGCCACGCACGCGATCGTTTTTGGAATTTTTGGCGCTGAGGTATAATTTTATATTCTGATAAAGTTTTGTAAAAAGACAAATTTGAAAAGTTTGCAATGTGATGTTAGTAGTGGCAGACCCAAGTTAGAATACACCAAAGATATACTCGCAATACGTTGATTGATTAAATAAATAAAACGGGCTGAGTTATATTGTATCGTTCCTAATTGATTGACGAGAATTTTGATGTTAATTTATTTGTCTTCTTATATGTACTTGCATAAACACTTGTTTTTGCTGGATATTAAGGTGTATTTTCACGGAAGCTATTTGTGTCATTTCTAACCTCAAAGTAATGTGTCACTGTACTTCAATACCTTTTAGCAACTTGGTTAGCGGAAATAAACTGCATCGACATCATAACATAACAATAAACTTTTTTATGGGTAATGTCAAATAAATTACAGCTGAAAATAAATACTTTGGAAATAATAATTCAGCCATTTTGCCTGTCATCATGTTAATGTACGTCATCACGCCGGTGATAGATTAGTTCACTTCGCTTGCGCTGTTTGTAATAAGGGACGTTCCTTCTTGTTGTTTTTTGCATCCTGTTCAATGTATGGGAAGAAAGATGCACGTCCTTTAAGCAATAAAGCACGCCTTCCTCTCTACAGCAGGTATTGCAGGAGATCATATCTTAAAATATATGACGAACAGTGCAAATTCGCAAGACGGACGAGCATTAAAGCCGCAGAAGTTAAATATGTGTGAATAAATATATTATATTCGCGGAACTTTTTGTATAATAAATCTGAATTTGTTCATTCAAAACTTGCCTTTATTTCACAGGCAATTATACTCCAACAAGAGCATTTCGATCAATTGTTCGTGTGATTCCGATAACACTTTATATGTACGGCATCAGGCAAAGACATTGGTAGTGTGGGGCACACATTTCATCATAATAAAATAATAAGATTTTTTTCCAAAATCTTTGATGACGATATTAGGATATCGACTTTCCTCTGTGAATAATCTGTTATCTATAAACACTATTTATACTGGCAGTGGGCTCGACTGTCCTTTCCGCAACGCATTTGATTACGCCAGACTCATTTTATAATCTAAGAATTTCGGTTAAAAAGACGCTACAACACATTTTGCGCATTTAAGAGAAATCGCTTAGAATTATTTCTTGACATTCATAACCTAAGAAAAGCCCGTTAGTTCAACAAAAATCAAGAAAAACGAGCAACGTTCACCCTCCCATCGCGCAGCCAGAAGAAACGGCCATGTGATCTGGATCCAAATATATGACTCCAATGTTTGGCATAGCCACGGGCTGGGGTTGGCAAAGCACAGGCCCCTCGCCGAGTCTTACACATTTTTAAGGTTCTGCAATTCCCGTCATTGCAGTGACAGGGCACAAGCCACTACCCGAATGCGGATCGGGAATAAGAAATAAGAAAAAAATGTTTTTTTTAACAGTTCGGATGGGACGCGCGTGTCCGAAAAATAAAGTTTACGCGAAAAAAAAATGTTTAGAGCAATATTGATGGCAAGAGATTTATTTGAAATTCTGCGCGCAAATTTCATGACGTCACGGAATGGTCGACATAGTAACCCTGGAGCTAGGCGAAAAAAAAAGTACGGACAGACACGAAATGGTCTTTCGCTCTTTCCACCTCAACGTGAAGGCGAAGCCGATCCACTTCTCCTCCGCGCGCCCGAAATCCCGAGAGAGAAAACAGGTGGAAAGGAGGTGACTACCGACAAAATCGCGACTCGCGCCGTCAATATGTCTCTCAAAAAAAAAAAAAAAAATTGCGTAAAATTAATTTGTTGGCATTTGTGTCCCAACCAGACTGTTTAAATTATTCGTTTTTTTGTTTTTTTTTCAGGTGCCTTGTAATGTCACATCCTTTTTGCGTGCGGCACGATAACATCGGTGTGAGCAAATGCAGGAACAAGGGAAGCAATAATCAAGAAAATTACGATTACGCTCGCAATATGGTGGCAATTCTTATCTTTTCGTTTCAGTGTTTGAATTAACGACGTTCGCCAGCCCAACATTTCCTGTTTTGTGATAACAACTCAGGAAAAAAAAAAAAGCAACGGCCGAAATCACGAACGCGACAGTACTTTTTTTTACAATATCCTGTGCAATGTCGTTGATTTATCAGTACCTAGAACTTGTCTTCCTGTTCGCAATGCTTTATGCTACGTGAAAATGAAAACGTAATTTGTTAGAAGGAAAACGACTTCCTCTTAACACATTGGTTATAGCTGTGCAGTTCTTGCCGGTGCCCACTCATTCGTTCGAGGGTTGTATACGAGCGTCAGTTACTGCTCCATATCCTCCACCTACTTTAATTCATTGCAAACACTACGAGCTTTTTCCGTAGTTTTACTGCTTGACTACTGCTCAATTGACGTGAAAAGGAATACCTCAAAAATACCTTAATGATGCACCTGTGTCAATCTGTTTTGCTAAACGTCATCTTTGCGGTTTATTTATCGCTGACCCCCGAAGCAAAAGCATGCTCGCCACCACCGGACTACGATACCTGGAAGGTAAACATGTCCTTATTTTTATCAAGCTGTCCTAATACCTACTTTTTGTCCTCAGTTCATTCAGAATTTTACGAAGGGGTATATCAAGTATAAAAACTACGACGATAACAGGCTTTGCGTTGGTTTGAGGCAAATCTTTGTGCACAACGAGCAATATGCCCTCTACAATTCGTCGTTTAGAACTTCTCCTGACACAGATATGTAAGCATTTCTATGAACATTTCAATTTAAGTCTGAATTAGGGAACCACCTTCAGAAGATGCATAGAATTCCATAACGGTTCCGTTCTTTCCCCGTTTTTTAATGACTCAAGACAATCAGAACTCCTGTTGGCCAAGGTGGAAGGCTGCTCCAACGTTCTCAGCATATATAATAATAATGGTGAGTCCGGAGCTCAATGGGTTGTTACATTTGGTGGCATTACTATTAGATCCAAGGTACTGTCTCATTTCACATTCTAAAACAGTTTGCCCAAAACTAAGTACTGCAGCAAGTGATGCACCGATTTTTTTAGGCGCACATGCATAGGAACATTCAAGCGAAGATAGCTTTACCAGCATACCTTATATCATAGATTCTACCCTTTAAATAGCATATGTGTTCCCAATACATCACTGGCAAAAAAAAGATCAGAATATGTTTTGTTTTCCCAGAAAATATTCTATGAGTTTTAAAATTTTTATAAATTGTATTCAAAACAAATATTGTTTTCGTAAAAAGGAGAGCCTACTCTGTCTTAAAACCACGCCATCCCAACGAACAGCGCGGGATTTAAATGAAACTACAACGGACTTTAAAAACACTCTGAGCAAATCGTCTATCACGCACGGAAAAAAAAAATATTTCCCAACGCTTTATACCACGGAAGTTGTGTTATTTATATTGCTCATAAATGGACATGTTCGAGTTTGCAGCACCAGCGATCTACAATGCAACACTTCTGTACAGCAACGGAATATATTGCGCCATTTTCAAGTCGATGCTGGTCTTTCCCGAGCCCCGTAAGTATTTCGTTGGAAAGCAGAAAGAAAATATTGAGTGCAAATAGCTCTATTCAAGAGCCACCTGCCCCCTTTTCCGAAGTTGATGTTTGTTTAAATTTAAGAAAATTTAACTTCGCTGTATGTTCAGGCAGTACACGCATGATTCGGCTGCTTTGCTTTGTGCAGTCTAGCTCTCGCTTATTCTCGTGTGCTGTGTATTTTCTGTGCGCACTAAAAAACAAAGCGCACCACGCACAAAGATTATTACTAGCAATCTTTACATTTGTAACACCATATATCTTACGCCGTTACAATCAGATAACCGCCTTCTAAAAGCTGTAAACCTATATACTGCAAATGGGTAATTTCATCACAAATTGTGCAGGCAAAAAAGACCGAACTTTTAAATGTAACAAAAATAAAAATCACTTCTAGGGAACACTTTTACCTGGATGAGGGAACAACCACGAGTTAGTATATTTTTTTTTGTTCTCGAGTTATGGAGCGCAAAAGCGGTCGCGGTGGAAATGAGCGGTTTTTCCCGACTGTCGAAGGTCGCATGCTTGACTCCATTTCATTCTGTGGCTTTATGTTATTTTTATTTTTGTTTATGACTGTATGTACACCATGAAGTGTTCATAATGTATTGAAATATTTTCAGGAATTTTATATTTCCTTAAGGAATTCTCCAAACTCAACTTTCAGGTTGTTCTCCTTATAAACTTTGACAGGCTGTTATCCGCGAATTACCTAAGTTATATTTATCATGTTTATGTCTATGGCACGCTCAGTAAAAGCGATTTTTAATGTATTAATCTCATTCAGTTGTCATTATTTTTTGTATCATCACATATAAATCGTAAACATGGGAAAGTTGCAAATTTTAAATTATATTCTCAAAACCCCCATTACATTTTCTTGTCATTGTAAAACAGGTTGTTTTACATCAACAATGATAGTTTATAAATGTAATTTTTTTATATATATAGCCTTTATTTAAGCCCCAATATTGTGAATTTCGTGTTCGTATTCAGCTAGAAATCAGGCCACCTTACCGAGCTTGGGCAGCTCCATGATTTCTAAAACAATATTGGAGTATCTCTCGGGCGATATGTGTCTACTACCCGGTGGTGAACTCACTCTGGGGCGACAGGAACGAGGCTAAAGAATGTAAATGACAAAAGAAATGTTTTTATTAGAGAAATTATGCACAGCTTTTGTATTCAAAATGGAACTAGTTACAGTACCGTTCTGTTTAGCACTCTCTTCTCACGAGAATATGGCCTTAGGATAATTCTCTCCGATAAAACTATACCATTTTTACGTGAAGTTTTGTTTCGTTTTTATTTTCAGACTGTGCAGTGTGGGTGAACAGTATTGCTGGAGGTGACGACATTGACGACTGCATTGACCACTTCACTGATGCCTGCGTCGCAAAGGAGAAAGATGTCTACCCAAGCGATATCTGCGGTCAGACTCCTTGAAAAATGTTGCCTAACCAAGGCCTCCGACTCAGTGCAAATCTAAGGTGCGGCAACAAGACAGAAGAGCACACGACAGGACGGTGAAACGAAAAAGGGCACACGGCACATTGACGGTATAGAGCGTGTGACGTTAATAAAAAAAATGCGTGCCTCCACAGCCGTTTTGGTCAATCTACCAGTCGACAGTGATAACGTAACATTATAACATTATAATAATACTTCTCAGCTCATTATAATTCGCCTAATAAATGAGCGTGGCGGTTACAAATGACCACCTTGCGGCCCTGCTGTAATCCGCTTTACTTTAACTCCGCTGACATTTGACGCCACAACGAAATGCAGCCAATCAAAATGCACCAACAGTGCACCGTCACGGCGTCTCGTTGTCTGCGCGGTTTCTTCCATGGACTAAGCCAATCATGAATAGTGAATGCTCCACCATTCTGTCGTGTTTTTGTTTTTCTTTTCTTATGCGTGATAGCAGCGTCAGTTGCGGTCCTGCATAAGGCCAAAGGGATTATGGAATCTCTCATATTCCGCAGTAATATGGCAACACCCGAACTCACGGAGGACGTTGAGCTCCAACGAGCTCATCTGAGAAACAAATTTATAGTTTGGAGCTGCAGTTTTGTATTTGTATTGTATTATGTTGTTGTTGTTGTGTTTTTTTGTTTTTTTTTTGGCAGCGTGCACCGCCAGTTTTATTTGTCACCTTTTGCTCGCAATATTACTAATAATGATATCATCGAACAGCAACCAAGCTCTATTGTTATAAGACGAAATAATAATGTTCACTGAATACCAAAGAAATGGTTCAAGTTTCGAGAGATTATAAACACGCACCATTAGAGTAAACCTGCTCAGCCATAATATTTAGTTTGGACTAAACTAGCAGCAAACCAAAGTGTAAGTCACAAAACGGCCCTTCAGATACCTTAGAAGATGCAGGATGCCGTAAACGGTTAATTGCTTCTAAACTTGTTTCGAGTAAAGTATTCTCGCCAAAGTCTGAACATCGCACCCTGGTGCTTAGCCATTATTTTCTACGTAGAATCGGTCACGTCCAAAATATTGCAACAAATTTGCATGGAAACACCTAGAAGAAGCCGAGGCGCCGCTTATACTTATCCTGACGATGTTTCGGGAGGGGCATTCGAAAATACTTGTGGATCAAGTTAACGGGTCAATTTCGGCACTCTGATTGGCCGCGTTTTCATGGGTGTCACAATACCTGGTTCATGGGGGCAAAGAAAGGAGGAGCGCGACGCTTATGCGAACACGGCTAGGGGATGCAAACCGTAGCCTTAAGCGCGACTCCTCTATTCCTTTACGCGCATCAGCTAATCAACATAGGGAGCGGACTAAAGGCAAGCACGTGAGTCCGTGAGGCCTGCTTACTCAAGTCTCGGGCTTCTCCTCCTTTCCCTACCCCTGCAATCCGGGCGATATGACGTTCACGAAAACGCGCAAATTAGAGTGTCAAATTTTGAATGTTTACTTACTCCAGATACTTTCCAGTACACGGGTACGGAGGAAAGGGTTGTAGGGCCCCCCCCCTGGATTTTCCAAACTCTTCCATGCCACAAAGTATCAAGGTACCCGGTCTGAATTACAACCGGCTGTGGAGCGAACAAAATATATCTATTCCACACATCAAACTGGTTAAACGCTTGGGTAGTTACGTACTATAAGGCATCGCACGACATGGATGAAGGACAACAAAACCAGGCAAGAGCTAATGCTTGGAGACCAGAATTTTTTTGGTAGAGGAGATGGAATAAATACAAGTGTATTTTAGGGGTCTACGCGTAAGACCTAAAGATCATCTCGCACAGCCTAGCCAAGGGCTGAGGTTTCATTCAAACCACCACGGCAGTTTTTGACGGATAATCGAATTTTAAATAATTCCGGGCCTCCTTAGTATTAGGCTTCCAGTACTGGGTCATGGTTTCAAGAAAGGTTCGTGAGATATGCTTATGTGATAGCTTTTTTACTGCAAAGAAGCAGCTCAAATCACCAATCCTTTCTGTATCTTGTTCTAAAATTCACAAGGTTTAAAATCAATCACGCATGAAGGTTACTACACTCGACAACTTGCTGAAGCACTACAGATGAGGTGAAAAGTGGCGGTGCACAGCTTTACTATGGTCAAGGTGTGTAAACTGAGGGGTGCCCATAGCTTCGCATTTAATGTCACACAGAGTTCTCCAGGGCATGGTAGCGGCTAAATAAACTAAAGCTGCAGTGGATTTAAATGGCCAGGACTATTTTAGCCCACCATAGAAACATCTTTATAATCCTAAATAATGTATGCATTTACCTGAGCTACGCTTTTGTAGAAACCCCATCCCATAAAGGCGGGCTATTTTGTGACTGTGGCGTTTTGTCACTGTGTTTATGGCTATTTTTTCACGTGATGTTTTGTAGCGTGCCGTTTTTTTTTTTGTTTTTTTTTGCGCTCCCACAAGGTGCATTTTCTTAGTCTGAAATGTTTCGGCTTTGATAAAACATTAAGACACACGCACACACACACCTTGAATACTAGCTTAATTGAAAAACGTTTATAATAAAAAATAACAAGTCAAGAGCTGCTATCCAGAAAGTTTAAGTCTGTTGAGCAAAGTCTAGATGGTAAAGAATAGAGCATCTGGAGATAACAGAGGCTTTTAGTATTCCATATACGAACGAACGCAAACGATGTGCGTCCGCTTTAACACTGGGTGTTCCACGCTGCGGATTCGCATCGTCGCCAAGCGCCAATACAAGACCGCAGTTTGGGCTCCGCGCACGCGCGATCTGGAACACGCAACTCTAACATAAACGCGCGGTGCTTGCGTCCGCAAGTATACGCAATACTAAAACTCACTAGTTTGACATAACGCTTTCAAGCCTGATTACGCAAATAGGAATATGTTCTCTTTAACGACACGCTGAGAACCAACAAAGTTAACAATTACAAATTGAGCGGCCGGAAATGTTCGCATATACTTAAATAAATTGTATGTCGCTTCAAGACATAGCTCCCAGAACATTGTTTACAAATATGACCGACGTTTTACTGGCTTCAATCTGTAACGACATGTTGTAATACTTTCTCGTTTTCTACAAATAAATAAAAAAATGCAAACGAAACAATATTCAGAACTTGCGACATTTAACAAGAGACGTGTAAATGGAGCTCAGTATGAGAGGGTGCCTGTCTATATTGATATTTGCCTTCTACTTATTTAATATTTCTTCTTTTTTGACGATAACGACGATGGCAGGAAGCTTTACTGGGTGACCATTGCGCTACGTTTGAAGCCATGAACATGAATGCCTAGGAGGTGGCAGCAGTCTACTACGACTTGGCCGCCCCTGGGAGCCTTGTGCCTACACCAAAATAAGCGACCAAACCACCGGTCTGCCAGGGCTTTGCCATCTAAAACATTCATCAAAAAGAACGCAAGGTCACCTCGACTCGCTCACTGGCTTGCCTTATCCCCGACCTTCCGAAACTCGGCCAGTTTTCGGGAGGATCAAAAGAACACGTCGTCCTCATCTTATATTGTATATCAACACATGATCAAAATCACCATATAGATGCGACACCGCGGGCCTCCAAAGTATGGGCTGTTGCCTTTCTGCGTCGCCGTGGCTCTCCTAAGAGAGTAAAGATAATTATTTTTTACCTAAGTCTTCTCTCAAATTCTTTCATAAAAATTATCTCTTTTTTTTTTTCTTCTTTTTTTTTTGTTGTTTGAGTGACTGAAATGTTTGGTTTCAATCGCGGAAACATAACTATAACTGCTAAATCGTAGCCCATGTTTTCGCGCCTTTGCTAGCATTGTCGCTTTTAAAAAGGCACGCCTTCATGGAAACAAAAGAACTGTTCTCGTTCGATCTTATATTGTTTTAACCAGTTGCAAAACGAAGGCCGTCGAATCCAGTCGGAGAACAATACCAACGCCCTCGTGTAGCCCCCTTGTCTCAGCAACGGGACAACAAACCAACACTTTCCTTTTGTGAAGAGTTGGCAGCAATATCAAACCCAAAACGTGTGCGCGTGTGTGTGTGCGTGTGTGTGTACACGTGTGTGTGCGCGTGTGTGCATTCGTGTGTGCGCGTGTGTGCGTGTGTATGTGAGTGCGCATGTGCGCGCGTGCGTGCGTGTGTGTGTGTGTGTGTGCTAACCGATCCCCGCCATTTTTACCTAAAGGAACGAACCTGACCATCTTAAGGTGCGCCTTGGTTCACCCTCAATGTTCTCCCTCCTAACGATTCTTGTTATTTGTCATTTTAACACGATAATAAAAGTAATGTACAATATGATTATAAACATTTCTTGTAAACACATCTTTCGATTTGAGGTTTATTTTAGAACCACTCCGTGATTGTTGCACCATATTGTCAGGGATGGGAGTGTTGACTCGGTGAATAAGCCGATGAGAGACTAAAGAAATTCAATGTTTATTGAGGTGCACCTGTGCCGAGAAAATAAAAGAGAATAGTGGCGTCGCGAGCGTAGAGGTAGGCGTAACCGCAGGGGTCGAGCGCTGAAGCGAGAATGACTCCGCCTCGCCCCGCCGAGTCCTTTATGTACACGCTTGGAACCATCGGCGTCGAATGTCCGACGCGTACAACATTCGAACCTCAAACAAGCAACAGGGTTCTGGAATTCGCCAGAACGCGACATTTACAAAAACAACAAAAAAGGTGCATCCCCTTCTAGGTATCGAACCTCGGACCTTCGCGAGGGAGCCAAGCACGATAACCATTTCATTTCATTTTCATTTATTGTCCTCATGTAATGCATCGAGGACATTTATTGTCCTCGATGCATTACATGAGGATGTGCTCGAACGGAGACGCACGTGAAAAAATAATGGAAACACGGTTAAATTTAAACGTTTACCAAAACGACTTTGTCGTCCAATATATGTCAGCATTTTACACTTGCTCAACAAAGCGTAAAAGCAGGGCAAGGAAAAACACTGCCAGTTTAAGTGCAGTTGTCAACGTTTTACACGTATACAAAAAAAAAGCACACGCGCGTAAAGTGAAGTTATTTTTATATATACACCGAACCCTTCCAAAAAAAATTATATTGGGGTCTGCGGTTGAAATGGTATATTGATCGTGTTTGTGCTGAAGA